TGCCGGCTCTAATTTGTACCTGAACACGGACGTGGTGTTTTATTCATACATTAGTGCCACGAGTGTCCACGGAGGCAACTTTTGGCTTTTCAGCAGAGAGTAGATTGAGGGCAGGAGGCATTTTTACTCCGCGACAAGCTCCCAGAGAAATAGAGGCGCGGGCTCACTCCAGCGTACAGAAGGTTCAGTGAGGGCGAAGGTTAGTTTAAAACTTCTTCTTTTACCGCTTTGGGCCATAAAAAAAAAGCGGGGGGCGGGGGGGAAGGAAGTAGCGGCTTTCCAAGGGAGCGGTTTGACCCTACCTAGCGGACTGGGGATCAGAGCCCGGGCGCGGCGGCTCGGCCGGGAGATGTGCCAGGGAGGGTCCGGCGACGCCGCGGCCGGGATCAATGAGGGCATGCATTGCCGCGCACTCCCCAGGGCAGAGCTGCGAGCTGCCCGCGGAAACGTACCGCATCAGCATCCAACCTGCCCAAAGCCAAGGGGCGGGGGACGGACCCCAAACAAAACCCGACGTGGCAATGGCTTTCTGGAAGCTGGGAGCCTCGGCGAGTTAATAATGCAATCGGGTTTATTAACCCGTGCGCCCATTGGAAAAGTCACCTCCTTTTCCCTGCTGGAACCGGATTCAATCTGGCGCTGAGCAGGGCGAGCAGGACCGGCCCCGGGCGGCACGGGGGGACAGAAAGAGGTGGGGGGACGGAAGCAGGAGGGAGAAACGAGCAAAACTAGGAGCCGTCCCCAGAGCTGCGGGCGCGGCGTGGCGGCTGCCTCGGACGCGCCTGCTTTGCAATCAGCCCGTTTCAGGGAAGCGGTGAAACACAAATATTTAATCAGTCCAGTGTTACCCGGCCTCAGCATCCATTAGAGGCTCGCGGAGCTGGAGGCAGAGTCCAGGGGGCCAAACGTGTCACGGCTACTCATTGCTTTCAACTTTCCCCTTTGTTACCTTCGCCGTGACAGGACATGGACCCGGAGAAGAAATAAGTCGGGGGTGCAGTTTTATGGGACGGCGGGGGTGGGAGTCGGAGCGCGGCTGTCTGATGCTAGGGCCCGATGCGCAGACCGAGACTCCCGTCGGGGCCCGCGGGGCGGCGGATCACGGGATCGGGCCCCTGAAATACACCGCGAAGGGGAGAGTTAGG